GTGCTTGCTGCTGCGTCCCGGTCAGGTCCTGAGTCTGCCCCCTGTTCTTGTCGCCTCCTGTCTCACGAGACTCTCCTGTGGCACCACCGTCTTGGCCACCCCTCCTTGCCCCGTCTTCGGAGCATGGCTTCCCGTGTCCTTGTCTCTGGCCTTCCCCAGTCTCTCCCTCCTCTCCCCTCCGGGCCAGGACCTTCCTGTGTCCCCTGTGTCGAGGGTCGCCTCCGGGCTACTCCTCACTCCTCCCACTTCCCCCCGACAGAGGCTCCCCTGCAGACGCTTCACATGGATGTGTGGGGCCCAGCCCCCGTCCGTGGGCAGGGTTACGAGCGCTACTTCCTGTTGGTGGTTGACGACTACTCGCGTTACACCACAGTCCTCCCCTTGCGCAGCAAGGGTGCGGTCACTGAGGTGCTGATCGACTGGATCCGCGAGGCTCGTCTCCAGCTCAGGAAGAGCTTCGGCTCGGACTTTCCTGTTCTGCGTCTGCACTCGGACAGAGGCGGAGAGTTCTCTTCTCGCCTTCTGCGGGACTACTGTCGTGCACGGGGGATCCGCCAGACCTTCACGCTTCCGGACTCACCACAGCAAAATGGGATTGCTGAGCGCCGCATTGGCATGGTCATGGATGTCGCTCGTACGTCCATGATGCATGCGGCTGCCCCCCATTTTCTGTGGCCGTTTGCTGTGAGGTACGCGGCGCATCAGCTCAACCTTCACCCCCGGGTCTCTCGACCTGCGATGTCCCCAGCCTTTCTGTGGACGGGGAAGGTTGGCGATGCGTCTGTGTTCCGTGTCTGGGGATCTCGGGCGTTTGTCCGCGACTTGTCTGCGGACAAGCTGTCCCCTCGTGCTGCTCCCTGTGTCTTCCTTGGCTTCCCCACTAACGCCCCAGGGTGGCAGTTTTACCACCCCTCCTCTCGTCGTGTTCTGTCCTCCCAGGACGTCACGTTCGACGAGTCAGTCCCCTTCTACCGTCTCTTCCCCTACCGCACTCCTTCCCTCCCCCCTCCCCCGGACTTCCTTGTGCCGGTTCCCCCCCCGGTAGACCCCCTCCCCCCTCAGGTTCCTGCCCCCTCAGGTGTGTCCCAGGTAGACGCCGTTGACCCGGTCGAGGTTACTGGTGACTCTGGTGCTGCTGCGGGTGCTGAGCCTGGGGGTGCTGACTCTGGGGGTGCTGTGCGCGGGGGTGCTGAGCCTGGGGGTGCTACTGCTGGGGGTGCTGGGCCTGAGGGTGCTACTGCGGAGGGTGCGGAGCCTGGGGGTGCTGAGCCGGGGGGTGCTGTGCCTGGAGGTGCTGGGTCTGGGGGTGCTGGGTCGGGAGCTGCTGAGCCTGGGGGTGCTGTGCTGGGAGCTGCTGGGCCTGGGGGTGCTGCGTCTGGAGCTGCTGAGCCTGGGGTTTCTCCTGCTGCTGCGTCTCGCCGGGAGCCCCTCTCTCCACAGGAGCTGCGCGAGTGGTTCGCTCGCCGCTGGAGGCGTGCTGCTGCGTCTGGAGGTGCTGCTAGAGCTGGAGCTGGAGCTTCTTCGACCGTCGAGGGTGCGGGTGCTGCCGGTCCCGGAGCTGCTGGACCTGCGGGTCCTCCTGGAGCTGGAGCTGCTGAGGGCGTTGGTGCTGAGCCTACTGCTGTTGGTCCTGCCGCTGGAGGTGTGGGTGGCGCTGGTGCTGTCGCTGAGGGTGGTGGTGCTGTCCCTGCTGAGTCTGGAGCTGCCGCGCGGCCTCGGCCGTACTTCGTTCCGCTCCTGCAGCAGGTTCTTGGTCTTTCTCCTCTAGTAGAGGGTCCACCGCCTGTCCAGTCGCAGTCCCTGCTGGAGCCTTCCTCTCCACTGCCTGCTCCCTCTCCTTACACTGGTCCTACTGGAGGTCTTGCTGAGCGTCGTGAGCCTGCGTCTCGTCCTGCGTCGCCTGTTCGTGCTGCTCGCGCTAGTGGTCGCTGTTCGCGTCAGCGTCCTCCTCCTGTCCCTGGCACGCACCGGATGTCTTTGCGTCCGTCCACTGCTCCTCTGCGTGCCCCTTTGCCTTCTCCCCCTGAGTCCTCTCTTCCTGCGCTTGCCGACCCTGAGTCGGACTCTCTTCGTGCTGCCAGTCCTACTGTCACGCGTCTCCTTGCTACTGTCGTCACTGACCCCTCGTTTGAGTCCACTGCTGCGTCTGCCCTTGTAGCTGAGCTCGTCGACTTTGCTGCTCGCTGTCGTCTCGACTACGCTGCTAGTCTTGTTGCTGAGTCTGCGTCTGTCTGTCCTCCGTCCGTCGGGGGTGAGTGTGCTCTTGGCACGGACGTCCTAGAGGACAGGCAGGAGGAGTTACAGTGTCTAGCGGCTGCTTCACCTCATCTCACGTCTGTACTGCTTGCCCCTGAGGGAGACCCGGATGCACTTGACATCCCGACTCCGCGTTCTTACGCGGAGGCCGTAGAGGGTCACTACTCCTCTCAGTGGCAGGCAGCTATGGATGCAGAGATGGCTTCCTGGAAGTCCACAGGCACCTACGTTGACGCGGTTCCCCCTCCTGGGGCGAACATCGTCAGTGGCATGTGGATCTTCAGGGTGAAGCGGCCGCCGGGCTCTCCACCTGTCTTCAAGGCACGGTACGTTGCTCGTGGCTTCAGTCAGCGGCAGGGAGTTGACTACTTTCAGACCTTCTCTCCCACCCCGAAGATGACTACTCTTCGGGTGCTGCTGCACATAGCCGCTCAGCGCGACTACGAGCTTCACTCTCTCGACTTCAGCACTGCGTTCTTGCAGGGTAGCCTGCACGAGGAGATCTGGCTTCGCCGTCCACCTGGCTTCACTGGGACTTTCCCTCCTGGCACCCAGTGGAGCCTCCGACGGCCAGTCTACGGTCTCCGCCAGGCACCGCGTGAGTGGCACGACACACTGAGGACTACGCTTGCGGCTCTTGGGTTTGCTCCTTCTACTGCTGACCCGTCGCTGTTTCTTCGCACCGACACTTCCCTGCCGCCGTTCTACATCCTCGTGTACGTCGACGACTTGGTCTTTGCCACAGCGGACACTGCTGGACTCGCCTACGTGAAGTCCGAGCTGCTGAAGAGACACACGTGCACAGACCTGGGTGAACTGCGCAGCTACCTTGGCTTGCAGATCACTCGGGACAGAGCACGCCGCACCATTACCTTGACTCAGTCACACATGGTGCAGCAGGTCCTTCAGCGCTTCGGCTTCACGTACTCCTCGCCTCAGGCCACTCCTCTGTCTACTCGCCACTCGCTCTCAGCTCTGCCTTCGGATGAGTCCGTAGAGTCGAGTGGCCCGTACCCAGAGCTTGTTGGCTGCCTCATGTACCTGATGACCTGCACACGACCTGACCTTGCATACCCTCTTAGCATTCTTGCACGCTATGTTGCTCCTGGGAGACACCGACCAGAGCACATGGCTGCAGCGAAGAGGGTATTGCGCTACCTGTGCAGTACGTCGGGCATGGGGCTAGTGCTTGGAGGGCGGAGTCCAGTGGTCCTTACCGGCCACGCGGACGCTTCTTGGGCTAACGACCAGGCTACGCAGCGGTCGTCACAGGGTTACACCTTCAGCCTTGGTTCCGGCTCTGTCTCATGGCGGTCTACTCGCTCGTCTTCGGTTCTCGGCTCCAGTTGTGAGGCTGAGATCTACGCCGGGGCCATGGCTGCACAGGAGCTTCGCTGGCTCACCTACCTGCTGACTGACCTTGGAGATCCGCCTCGTTCTCCTCCAGTGCTGTACGTAGAGAACAAGGCCATGCTGGCCTTGTGTCGAGAGCAGCGCTTGGAGCACAGAACGAAGCACATTGCTCTCCGCTACTTCCTTGCTCGTGAGCTGCAGCAGCGTGGTCAGTTGCGACTTGCGTACGTGGCCTCTGAGGCCAACACTGCTGATGTGTTCACCAAGGCACTTGCGCCTTGTGACCATCAGCGCTTTTGCACCCAGCTGGGTCTTGTACCTGTCTTGCCTCACTTGCTCTCCTCTTGACTTCACTTGTATTGTGACATATATATATACCTGCTCTTGCTTGTCTAGTTTTATATATATGTCTGTACTCCTGCATGTGAACTGGCCTCTGGCCCTGCTCTTGTGCTCGGACTGTGTGGTGACTTTGTGATCCACCCTGAGCTTGCTTTGCTTTGCTTTGCTTGACTGGTCTTGTGACCCCTTGTTCTCCCCCACTTAGCCTATGGGGGTGTGTCAGAGTATTATAGCTGATGCATGTTTGTAGGCTATAGTGGGGTAGCACATACGGGGTACAGCTTTCTAGGGTTGTATTTGTACCCAACTCTGACTTAGTCATTCTCATTCCTGTTCACTTGTTTCACAGCACCACCTCGTTCCGACCGCTCAGGGAGGACGCCCATCACCCAAAAACCAGCGTCGTGCACGTGTCGCCCTGTCGCCCTATCGCACCGCGTATAACATCGTCGCCTGCACCACACTTCCTGCGTCGCACAAATCGCGGCATCAGGAGAGGCGTCCACGGTGGATAGAAACGAACCAACATTACAACGACACGCGTCACCTATACACCTGTCACAAACGCCACCTTTTTCCAACACGCCAACTGCGTGCCGACACCTGCACTCATCATCTACCGCATATGGTGCCTCGTCAACCTTTTGCGCCAATCACGGCAACCCGCGTGTTGCTCTCTGGATGGCCGGATCCGGCAGTCATTGCCCGATCAGGTACTCTCCGGCTACCGCGGCGACAAATGCGGCGCATTTCACGCGCGCTTTGGGTTTTTATGTTCATTTGGTGATTTCCACACTCTCATCCCCGCGCAGTAGTGTAGTACAAAAAGCACCAAACCATGTCCACTAAACCCACACAAAACAAGCATCACAATACATTTAACACAACCGTCTATCTGCCTTCAAACACCGTATACTTAGGCGGAATTCTAGCAACCTAAAAACCCAAACACGGAACATAAATATCAAAAGCGCACACACAACCAACATCATCCCACTCCAGGGCACGTCTATGCCCTCCATCATCCCGGCCTCCCCCTCCCCGCTACTCTACACGCCCCCGACTGACACCGACTGCACATCATTCCCGGAGACGTCTCCGCCGCTAGCGCCAGCATTAGGCTTCATGTTCTCAAGACCACAAGCAGAAAGGCGGAGGCCATGGCGTCCCCAAATCCGTTCCTCCTTCTCGTCGTCGTACTCGGGATTGAAGTGACGGATGGCCTGTGAAACGGAGCCCTTCACAAGCACCTTGAGCCCGTTCACGACGTGGCTGTTCCACCCGGCCGGGTTAGAGAGGCGGCCCATCCTCTGCTCCCAATACATGATGCTGTCGGACACCTGAAAGGAAATACACACGGCGCACGCCTTGTAAGACTACAGCCATGTTCAAACTAACCACCAAAGTCATACAATGTCACTCACCACGTGCTCCAGCCACGCAAGGTGGTACACCTTCAAAGTGAGCGGCAGTGCAGCCTTCTTCGGAATGAAGGCAGCCTTTGCGCACGCCGCAAACGCGGCAGACGCAAAGGGCATCCCGTCGCGGTCGTTTGACCAGTTGCTCGGCACCAGATCTGTCGTACACACCGCGGATAGAATGGTGGGGTTTAAAGACTAAAACCACAAAAGCACCCCTCACCAATGTCTAAAAGCACCAGAACACCGCTTACCGCTCTCCTCCGCACCGAGCCCAATGCGCTCCCGAATCTGCTCCAGCGTGCGTGCGTTGTCCCTTGCCCACGGGCTTGCCTCGTCGTGCTCATCACAGAAGAATCCAAGCTTAGGGAGCGCAATGTCCCGGACCCGTCTGGCAGCCCTTGTCTTCCACTCGCTCAGCATCGTGTTAAGGTCAGCACGGCGGGACTTGTCCGCGGCAAGCGCAAGGCACGCGAAGCTATGTGGCAGGCGGTCAATCACTGCGCAAACGCCATAAGTCTTGTCGTCAGAGCTCGGATAGAAAGTCATGGTTGCGGCCGGCTTCTTCAAGAACAGCTGCACTCGGACCAGCTCGCATAGGCGCTGCACACAAGTCAGGTACCATGGGAAATTCTGAATGAGTACAATGCTCCACAACAGTCCATCGCATGGCAGAAAGCGTACGCTCCGAAAGTAATGTTACACGTTTGGTAGCACATCCCACCTTCCAAGCCTTGTCGGCCGGCAGCAGATCAAGTGCGCGCTGCAGAACAGGCGACTTCGCAGAGCGCATGTGCTTCCGACGCGTGCGAATCTGTGCCATGTCCTCGTAGTCGTTGTCGTCCTCCTTATCGTCATCCTCCTCAACATCTGCCACTTCCTTGTTGCGATGCTGGCGCTTTGGGTTCATGCATCCCTGCCCGGGATCCCTCTGCCGCTCCGCCTTGCGCCGACGGGACCCCCCATCGGACTTCGCCAGCGCCTCCAAAAGTAGAGTTTCCAAGTGGGCCACCTTCTGCGCGCTCTCGTCCTGCGACTTAAGCAGGCTCCTGAATACTCCCGCGGAAACGCGCACCTCCTCGCCATGCGTGTCCACAGCATCGTTCTCGCGGTATGCGTTGGTTTCGAACATCGTGCGCATCGCGTCACCCACATCCTCGTCATCCTCCTCTTCGGATGCGTTTATATTGCTCACGATGTGTGCCTGTTTGCCCCCTTCTACGTCCTCGCCTTGATTCCGGTTCGCCATACGAGGAGCAGCGTCGCTCTTGGAACGCGAATCGGGCGAGTCACTCACCAGCGCTTGTTTGCCGACCCTGCCAGGAGAAGCGTCCAATGTCTCACCCCCAGTATTATTTGTAGACGTGGGAATGTAGGCGGAGGAGACAGTTAAATCCGGGCAACACAAGCTCCAAGGCGGAAGTAGGGGGAAACACAACACTTTCTTAATCAAAACGGCCACAAAACGCTAAAGCAGCGTCATACATTCTGTACAACCAGCACATCAAACCGTCATTACTGTCACGAATTGCTTTCCCGCCAGCATCCGCTCTAGTAATGGCCAAACGCTTTGGCAAGGCCGTTCCGCGAGTCCCCCATGGCATGCGCCCACGAGGAGTTGCAAGCTGATATGCCGCGCGCAGGTACGCCGGGGGCTGGGACATTCGCCGTGCACGCCCCGCGTTGCCAGTATCTTCAGAAGCAACGGAAGTCTCCATTGTTAACGACTGACATTGTTTGCGTGCACGGCACGCAAGCCTAAGTACTCGGATTGACCTTGCAAAGTATACGGTAATGCGTAAACCTTGCTCAACAACGTCCACAACCATCGAGCGAAACCATTGCCGCCCATCAGGATAAACGCAATCAACAACATCCACTGATCACTGTCAACTTTCATCCGACCACCCGTACTCTCGATACCGTTTCCGAGTCCTGCTACAATAGTTCCTTCTCTTGCTAGCTATTTCATACCAATTAAACATTCAACAGAGGAAACAACACAGTATCAAACTATTAATGACACACTATATTTAAAGTACAAACCACACATGCGTACATGCATCCTCCAGGGAAGCCTTCTCTACCCCATGATCCACTCTCATTTCCCACTGATATCCCAAGCACCATCCTTCTGCCTCCCACGACCAGTTTCATCTGTCTTGTCCTCGAAGGACTTTGCCTTTGCACCGCGGGCCATCTTACGCGCCCTGCTGTTTTCTGCTTCGTGGGCAACGATTACGGTGTCCTCACTGCCAGCCTTCTCGCCTTCACCCTCCCCTGCCGTGCCCCCACCCTGATCACCACTCCCCTTGCGCGGTCTCCCCCTCTTTGCACGCTTTGCATTCTTCTTTGTGCGCGCTGCCTTCTGCATCAGACCTTCCTAAGTCTCCCTCCATACCCTCCAGCGCCACCACATGCGGGCATCCACCATGACTTTCAGGATTTCGGGAGTGCACCCCTTCAAAGCTGCCTTATTAGCCGATGTTAAAGCCACAGAGTTCCGGGTGCCTTTACCAGGCCTCAGCACGTGGGCATCTGCCGTGTAGCAATACGCTGCCTCCTCTATCGTGGTGTACGCGCCGACTCTCTTCGTTATCTTCTTCCCCTCCTTGTCCTTTGCGTGGACCTTCACCCCATACTTGCCTGTATCGGCCTCCACATAGACCCCTGTGTACTTGGTCGGCTTTGTTCCTAGCTCGTTCTCGCCCTCTCCATCTTCCTTCGACTCCTCTCCTCCCGCCAATGTCTCCTGCTTAGGTACAGCTATGAAGCCGTGGTGTGCGCCCGCACCGCTCTGCGCCATCCCATACACCGGATAGAATGGCTGGACTAGTGAAACCGCAGCTGCCTGCTGCCGTGACAACACCCAGTGTGGAATCGTCCCGGGGATTGGCAGAGGTGCCGGGAAACAGGGGTACGCACCAACGGCCGACGCGAATTTGCTGGCGAGCGACACTCTCGTGTTCGAGCCCATCATATCCTCGTCTGGGCTGTCTTTCACCTGCTTCGTGTAGCCTGATGGCCGCATTGGAGTGTGCGGTCCGTGCTTGCGCCCATCCGTACCCCTCGATCCTTACACAGCGACGCCAGTTTGCTGCAGCATGTTTTCGCCTGCTGAGATCAACTGCTCCCTCGACATCCCAAGCACACTACCAATTGCGGCGAATCCTACAGTCATCGCACTGACCTCGCGCTTTAACGAGCACACCTCCGCCTCGAGCTGGTCTATACGATGTTCTTCTTTCTCACGTCCTTCCGTCGCACCCTCCCTCAAAGTCGTGTTGGTGGTCAAGCCGCTTTGCTGAGAAGGAACATCCAAGCCATCCTCCTCTAGCTTCCTGAGCAACTCTCCCATAGCGTGTGCGCATAAATCAGCGCGCATGATGCGGCGGTACTGCAGCACGCTGACCCCCTTGAACCACATGCCACTCTTCACGTTGGCGAAGTCGGAGTAGACCAAAGTTTTCAAGTAGTGGCAAACAAAGACTCTACAATCATGACCGTTCTCTTGCTTGGGGATGTGGTTCTCCTGCGCGCAAAGAAACTGCACACCTGGTGGTCACTTCTCACATTTGTGTAACAACATCTGTCCACCAAAAAAACCAGGAAAGTCACACTTACGGTGAGGACATGGCAGGGAACGTCCTTCAGCAGCTGTTCAAAGTTCGCCATGTCTACATGTGGATGAGTCTCCCTGGCCATGGTTGACAACACCCTGCGGAACATCTCGGAGAACACAACCCAGTTACACCCACGCATGTGCAAATAACAACTGAAGTACCACTACTAAAGCAAACACTCACACCTTCACGCCACTGAAAACCTTCTGTGTACTCATGGGGGCCCAAGAGCTGTCGAACAACACCATTTCCAGCGGCGGGCTATCCTTCCTTGTCCTCTTATCCACCAGCCGGTGGGGTGATATGACTATCACCATTGAGTAGTGCTCTCTACAGGGAGGCATGCGGTAGGAAAGGACGGTGTTTAGTCACGCGCATAAAGAATGCATGCACCCTACGGCTCTTGTTGAACAAGTCAAGTGGCTCGATAATTACCCCCTGTAGACAGGGACCGCAAGGTAGTCGTGCTCAAGGAGCGGCAGGCCGTTTCCACCATTGACTGGCGTGTTGTGAGCAGTGGTGTTCGCGAAAGTGTTGCAATCGAGCGCCGCCCATGTCTTCCCGTTTGACAGCTTCGGCACACGGATGCTTAGAAGCCTGAAAGCACATGACGGACACGTGGGTGTTTTGGCGGAACAGGGGGCCATCAGATCATGCTGATGCGAAGTCTATCACCACATACACGACGCGCAGGTAGCGCGTCGGCAGCGTTACTCACACGTTGTGAAAGTCGACCACTCCGTCTGTCAACCAGGTGTTGTCCGCGATAGAGGCGAGGTCTTTCTTGTCGACTGTGCTGACCACGGCCCGATGATTCGTTAGCTCCATGTTGCGATATTCGACTTTGTAATAATTCTTCTCCAACGCCGCCACCAGATCGTCGGGCTGAGGGAGTTCAGCAGGTGCGCTTACGGTCGCGTCAACATCTTCCATAATCTCTTCCTCCTCATCCTCCGCCGTCATACTTTGCTTTTTTTTGTTCGTGCTGGCAGTCCTTCCCTTACGCGTGCGTGTCGCACCTACTTCTCTAATTTCGGCCTCCGAGTAATCGCTCGATTCTTGGTTCCGGCTTAGCGCTTTTTTCGGAGGCATGTCAGAAAACTGAAACGAATATGCGATTATAGAATGGAATGTGGTACAAATATGCAACCCTAGAAATGTGTACCCTATATAGGCTACCCCACTACAGCCTACATAACATTATGATTTGACACACCCCCATAGGCAAAGTGGGGGAGAACAAGTGGTCACAAGACCAGTCAAGCAAAACAAAGCACAGCTCAGGGTGGATCACAAAGTCACCACACATTCCGAGCACAAGTTCAAGGCCAGAAGGCCAGTTCACATGCAGGAGCACATACATATATAAAAGGCTAAACAAGCAAGAGCAGGAGTATATATATGTGACAATACAAGCAAAGTCAAGAAGTGAGCAAGTGAGGCAAGGCAGGCACAAGACCAAGCTGAGTACAGAAGCGCTGATGATCACAAGGCGCAAGTGCCTTAATGAAGATATCAGCAGTGTTGGCCTTAGAGGCCACGTACGCAAGTCGCACCTGACCACGCTGCTGCAGCTCACGAGCAAGAAAGTAGCGGAGAGCAATGTGCTTCGTTCTGTGCTCCAGGCGCTGCTCCCGACACAAGGCCAACATGGCCTTGTTGTCTACGTACAGCACTGGAGGAGAACGAGGCGGCTCTCCGAGGTCAGTCAGCAGGTAGGTGAGCCAGCGAAGCTCCTGAGCAGCCATGGCTCCTACGTAGATCTCAGCCTCACAACTGGAGCCGAGAACGGAAGACGAGCGAGTAGCCCGCCACGAAACAGAGCCGGAACCAAGACTGAAGGTGTAACCCTGTGACGACCGCTGTGTAGCCTGGTCGTCAGCCCAAGAAGCGTCTGCGTGCCCAGTGAGGACCACTGGACTCTGCCCTCCAAGCACTAGCCCCATGCCCGACGTACTGAACAAGTAGCGCAACACCCTCTTCGCTGCAGCCATGTGCTCCGGTCTGTGTCTCCCAGGAGCAACATAGCGTGCAAGAATGCTAAGAGGGTATGCAAGGTCAGGTCGTGTGCAGGTCATCAGGTACATGAGGCAGCCAACAAGCTCTGGGTACGGGCCACTCGACTCTACGGACTCATCCGAAGGCAGAGCTGAGAGCAAGTGGCGAGTAGGCAGAGGAGTGGCCTGAGGCGAGGAGTACGTGAAGCCGAAGCGCTGAAGGACCTGCTGCACCATGTGTGACTGAGTCAGGGTAATGGTGCGGCGTGCTCTGTCCCGGGTGATCTGCAAGCCAAGGTAGCTGCGCAGTTCACCCAGGTCTGTGCACGTGTGTCTCTTCAGCAGCTCGGACTTCACGTGGGCGAGTCCAGCAGTGTCAGCAGTGGCAAAGACCAAGTCGTCGACGTACACGAGGATGTAGAACGGCGGCAAAGAGGTGCCGGTGCGCAGAAACAGCGACGGGTCGGCAGTAGAGGGAGCAAACCCAAGAGCCGCAAGCGTAGTCCTCAGTGTGTCGTGCCACTCACGCGGTGCCTGGCGGAGACCGTAGACTGGCCGCCGGAGGCTCCACTGGGTGCCAGTAGGAAAAGTCCCAGTGAAGCCAGGTGGGCGGCGCAACCAGATCTTCTCATGCAGGCTACCCTGCAAGAAAGCAGTGCTGAAGTCAAGAGAGTGAAGCTCGTAGTCGCGCTGAGCGGCTATGTGCAGCAGCACCCGAAGAGTGGTCATCTTCGGGGTGGGAGAGAAGGTCTGAAAGTAGTCAACTCCCTGCCGCTGACTGAAGCCACGAGCCACATACCACGCCTTGAAGACAGGTGGAGAACCTGGCGGCCGCTTCACCCTGAAGATCCACATGCCACTGACAATGTTCGCCCCAGGTGGGGGAACCGCGTCAACGTAGGTGCCTGTGGACTTCCAGGAAGCCATCTCTGCATCCATAGCTGCCTGCCACTGAGAGGAGTAGGGACCCTCTACGGCCTCCGCGTAAGAGCGCGGAGTCAGGATGTCAAGCGCATCCGGGTCTCCCTTAGGGGTAAGCAGTACGGACACGAGATGAGGTGAAGCAGCAGCCAGACACTGGAACTCCTCCTACCTGTCCTCAAGGACGTCCGTGCCAAGAGCAAACTCACCCCCGACGGACGGAGGACAGACAGACGCAGACTCAGCAACAAGACTAGCAGCGTAGTATAGACGACAACGAGCAGCAAAGTCGACAAGCTCAACAACTAAGGCAGACGCAGCAGTGGACTCAAAGGAGGGGTCAGTGACGACAGTAGCAAGGAGACGCGTGACAGTAGGACTGGCAGCACGAAGAGAGTCCGACTCCAAGTCGGCATGAGCAGGAAGAGAAGACTCAGGAGGAGAAAGCAAAGGGGCACGCAGAGGAGCAGTGGACGGACGCAGAGACATCCGGTGCGTGCCCGGGACAGGAGGACGACGCTGACGCGAACCGCGACCACTAGTGCGTGCACCACGGACAGGCGACGCAGGGCGAGACACAGGCTCACGACGCTCAGCAAGACCTCCAGTAGGACCAGTGTAGGGAGACGGAGCAGGCAGTGGGGAGGCCGGCAGTAACTGTAGCTGTGACGGGTCAGGCAGCGGACACTCTAAGGGAGGAGGAGGACTAGTAGAAGGCGGGAGACCAAGAACCTGCTGAAGGAGCGGAACGAAGTACGGCCGAGGCCGCGCGGCGACTCGAGACACAGCAGGGACAGCACCCGCACCCCCAGCGGCAGCACCAGCGCCAACAGCACCTCCAGCTGCAGTACCTCCAGCAGCACCAGCAGCACCCGCAGCAGGACTGCCGCCAGGACTGACAGCAGTAGCCTCAGCGCCAACACCCTCAGCAGCTCCAGCTCCAGTCGTACCCGCAGGCCCAGCAGCTCCAGCACTCCCAGTACGAGCACCTCCGGGACCGGCGGCACCAGCACCCTCAGCAGCCAAAGAAGCTCCAGCTCTAGCAGAACTCCTCCAGCGCCGGGCAAACCACTCGCGCAGCTCCTGTGAAGAGAGTGGCTCCCGCCGAGACGAAGCACCCGGAGGACCTCCAGGCCCAGCACCGCCAGACGCCACACAAGCAGGCCCAGCAGCCGCCGGCTCTGCACCCCCAGGCTCAGCAGCTCCAGACGTGCCACCCCCAGGCTCAGCATCCCCAGGCTCACCACCCCCAGGCGTAGCACCCCCAGGCTCAGCATCCGCAGTCTCAGCACCCCCAGGCTCAGCACCCCCAGGCTCATCACCCCCAGTAGTACCACCCGAAGGCCCAACACCCCGAGGCGTAGTACCCACACGCTCAGCACCCCCAGAGTCAGCACCCGCAGCAGCACCAGTAACCTCGACAGGCTCGACTGCGTCTACCTGGGACACACCTGAAGGGGCAGGACCCTGAGGGGGGAGGGGGTCTACCGGGGGGGACCTTGCACAAGGAAGAGCGGGGGCGGGGGGAGGGAAGGAGTGCGGTAGGGGAAGAGGCGGTAGTAGGGGACCGACTCGTCAAACGTGACGTCCTGGGAGGACAGAACACGGCGAGAGGTGGGGTGGTAGAACTGCCACCCTGGCGCGTTAGGGGGGAAGCCAAGGAAGACGCAAGGAGCAGCACGAGGGGACAGCTTGTCCGCAGACAAGTCGCGGACAAACGCCCGAGATCCCCAGACATGGAACGAAGACGCATCGCCTACCTTTCCCGTCCACAGCAAAGCTGGGGAGGTCTCCGGCATGGACACCCTGGGGTGAAGGTTGATCTGATGCGCCGCGTACCGAAC